AAGTGCACCATGCTCAGCTATGCTGCGAAGTGGGGCGTTTCAGTCTCAGATAGGCAGCTGCTTGGATATCACAGCACGCCCTACAGGATGGCTCTCACTTACTCGAGGGACGCTGCTGCGCAGCCTTTGATGGTCTTGGAAAGGCTCATAGCGGCAATCAGACAAGGCAAGTTTCGTCCAGATGAAACGCGGAGTGGCAGACTTTTGGAGGGTGGACTTGATGGTCGTCAGCCCGACTCAGCGGTCGTTCTGGTGAAGGACGAGGATCCCGAGGGCGAGGCTCCGACTGGTGGCGTCGAGGACATAGATGCTGCTGGTGTGACAGCGGAGAATGACTCAGACATCGATGGCCACATCACAACGGATTCTTCTTCCAGCGACTCTGCACCGGAGCAGGGCGAGGGACCTTTCAGGAGCTTGATTGTGAATCCTCCTGAGAATCATGACATTTGGAGGCACGAGAAATCTCGCATCGTCCACTACACGCCGGCGGGATACACTAAGGTGTTCTGCTGTGGCCGTTCCATTGGCCCTCTACATGTGAAGATTCGCGCTGAGGACCTTAGGTGGGACTTCAGCAAGTGTCGGATTTGCAACAAGTCCGTCAGTACATAGTTTGGCCTGTGCTGGATGGACAACCAAAGAAGGCAATCTGAGTTTGCGCATGCCGGCTTGGCTGTTGGGTCCATCTTGGAAGTGCGGCATGTGTAATTTGCTTGGCAAGCTTGTCGTGGGAGGTCTGCCTCAAGGGATCAAGTCCGCGGGGTAGTTGAGGCTTCATGTCGACGATCATCGATAGTGAAGCTGCCTTCCAGCAGAGATGTGCGGAGTCGGCGAGTGATGCTACCTTGCATTCAAAGCTGGTCGCTCAGGGCATCAAGACTTTCAAGACTTTGGCCTTTGTCATAGGGTCGCCTCAGCAGCCGCCGACTGAGACACAGTTTGAGGCTTTCAGCTCAAAGGTGTATGGCGCTGACCCCACTATGGGGCAAACTGCAGTCTTGCGACACCTGCACTTTGAAGCAACCACCCTTGTAGTGCAAACATATCGAGACTTGGTCACGCACGACCCTTCAGATCCCTCCTTCACCAGGAAGGTCCCGGTGCCCGAGAAGCGTGCAAGGCTTGAGGGTCAAAGGAAACGACTTTCTGGAATGGAGTTGACTGGGGAGCTGGAGCCTTCGCATCAGCTTTTGGACATGATTAACCAACAGTATGAGTCGGGGGTCATTACTTGGGTCCCAGCGTCTAAGTGCGCGAAACGAGAGGCTGAGATTCTTGCGGGTGGCAAGGATAAAGGTTCTCTGCTTCAGGTGGAACAGAATGTCATCAAGGTGGGCCAGGGCGAGCCGCACGTGGCCTGCGACGTCTCGGATCCTCTTAGGTTCCAGTGGGCGATGATGCGCCGGGGGCTCGCATTTGACAGTTGCCACATGATTTCATGGGAAGTGCATCAGAAGTGGGTGCAAAAGATGTTGGATTGCTTGTCGATGATGCCTCCACCGGGTTATGCGGCTGTCAGCCTTAACCAGTGCATGCGAGCCGACAAGGAGCTTTTCCTACTTCTGGCCAGGGAGGCTGTGCCGCC